TTCATTGGTGGTTGAGGCTGTTTGCCTCTTCTGTTCTTCAACTCCGCGTTGTAGCGGAATCCGTCCATAGACTCCATCGCCTTAGCGAGTTGCCGCGCAAGGCGTTGACGACGCCTCTGGCGGGCTCTCTTTGAGAGAGTCACAACGCCCTGAACAGTGGAGGCGTTGGCGGGAGTTGGGTTGACCTGATTGGAGGTCGGTGGAACTTCATTTGACGCAACTTCGGCGTCAGTTGGGTTGAGAGCTTCGTGGGCTTCCCGAGCAGCTTCAAACCAACGAGCTTTTCTCCCGGAGGAGAACTTCTTGGACTTGCGGGGGGAGGTAGATCCGGACGAGGACACGTACTCCTCGAACTTGGCTTGGTCGAACTCGTACTCGACCTCCTCCACGACCGGGATTGCAATCCGCGGCTGCGACGCATCGATCTCGTTGGCGAGATCGTCGGCTCCCACTGTGGTCGCCAGATTGTTCGCGGGGAAAACTGTTTTCTTTTTCATTGAAATAATTGTCATCTTGGATTACAAAGATCCGGTCTTTTATAGATCCGGTTACAACTAAATCAAAGAAAATAAAGAAAAATTACAACTTTCCTTCTGTGAACAAATCACGAGCTCCTGTTTTGCGGTCGCTCGTTTTGGTGGGTTCTTTGCCTGCGCCGGGGTTAATCCGTGGACCACCGCGCGATCTAGATCCGGTCGGATCTACACGATTATACGGGTATTATTCCACGAAGGGAATAATAGCCGGGAGGGATTAGTCCACCAAGGGAATAATCGCTCGGATCTCGAGATCTAAGACCAAGCTTAGATCTGGAGTGTGATCTCGTGTAGATTTCAGATCTGTTCTTTCTTCCTCTCGAAATCCTGCCTTTTCTGACGTGGATGCTCGCCGAGGATCAGATCCGAATGTGCAAGTCTTCAAGTCTTCAAAGCTCCGAGTTCGCTCTTCAATCCGGCAGAGTTTTGGCTCTTGAAATTCAGACCCCTGAAAATGAACATCTCTAGGCCTATTTATAGGCTCTCAGGACAGTGCCCGCAAACAGAGAAACGTCGGCCACCTCTGGGTGGCTCGGCTTAAGCCGAGCCCCCTTAGGTGTGGGTTTTCCGAGTTTTTGTGTTGTGTCCGTTTTCCGGTTTTGTCCGTGATTTGGTTGATTGAAACTCTGATTTGTTGATCTGATTTGGCAGTAAGTCTGATTCCTGATTTGGCAGTAAATCCACTTCTGAGTTCGAGTCCGAAACTGATCTTGATTCGATCGTGATTCGTCCGAGTCTGTTCCCGGTTGGATGACTCGTTGATTCTTTAACACTTGGCTTGATCCCGAACGCGTATGGATGCATTCCGTCGCTTGCGTGCGATTCGTCGATCTCGTCGCCTCGTTGGTTCGTCGGTTTGTGCCGAGCTGTGCTAAGGGACCTATAAGCAGTTTTATATGCCTACAGATACCCCCTCCAAAGTATTTCAGTCTCGTTCTTTTATAGAAGAGTCTGGAATACTTTGGATATGATCGTCCCCACCTTCACTCGGTGTAACGGGACCTTGGAATGATCTCCGTTCTTGATTCCTTCAATCTTCCAGGCTATTCGGTGCTTTGTCGAATATCTGTAAGAGTTCCGGTGCTGCATTTATTTTCTGACCGTTGTTGGAATTTTAAACTTGGAGTTGATTCCTGATCTTTTAGCTAAACATCGATTGGCGTCGAGTCTTTATTTGCAACGCGTTGTCCGGCGTAGTGTTGTTGAGTTATCCTTAAGAATATTTATAAAAACATATTCTCCAGGAACTTCTCAAACCAAAAATAGGGAATAGTTTATACTCATATACCTTATTGGAGTGATTTCTGTGCCCAAATGAGCTGAACCGGCTTAAAATGAGCCAAAAAAGGCAGTAAATCGGCTCAAAAAATCCTCCGACTCTTCCGAACAAATGGGAGAGGAGTGAGTGAATGATGGACTGAACCGTCGCTCGATTTGAAGTCGTTTCGATGCTCGGTTCGGCTTCAATTTGGATTCTAGTTCAAAACCGGTCCGGTCCGGTTCGGTTCGGTTTGGTTCAACCCGGTTCACCCTATAAAAAGGGGTCTTTTTTCTTTTTCTTTTCCTCCACCTAGGGCCGGCCCCCCCTCTTGTCTATTTTTTGCTTTTCTCTTCCCTCAAGCATCCGATCTCTCTAAAAATTTGATATTTGTCTTAGATCTAACCTTCCTTCGGATCTTTGACTGAGAAATCTCTCAAAACTTCCATATTTAGAGTTTCCTTTGAGCCCCTCGAGCGCGTGGTTCGAGCACCTTTCAAGATCTAGTTTTTGTCGGATTCTCGAGCCTTTCCTCAGGTATATCCTCCATAATTTTAGCATTTTTTATGCTTTATTCAATTTATGAATTTGTGGGACCACGGGTGAGGGTTCGGATTATAAGAACTCCCAACTCTTGCGGACCCGGAGCTCTCGCTGAACATCACTAAATTTGCTCCCAAACCATCTGCTCTGCTCCAACAATTGCATGAAGGGGACAGGGATGTCAACAACGCTGGGGGCCGACATCAAGTCGGGACGGTGAAGAACGAGCCACGCCATCAAATATGCGTAAGGGAGCTCAACCTTTGGGCAAACCAGCTCAGCTGATGGTTCAGAACCCATATGTGTAAAACTGCTAACCAGACCCCTGAGCCCGCAATGGATACTAGCAACCATTGCTGGGAGCAGGGAAAGCTCTCTCCCATAAGCCAGCTGAACTGCAGGGAAGAGCACCTCGATGGGTAGAGCGTCAGAAGGTTGGTGCGGGACGACACACTTCTTCAACCAAAGGGCAAGGTAGCCTGCTAATAGCGTCCGGGACCCTATAGACTTCTGTGCGCGGCGGAGAAAAGAGCGAAACTTGGTCCCCGCGGGAAAAGCTCCCTCAGCACTGCCGATAGTGTAGGAACGAACCTCAGCCTTTTCCAACAACTCATTAACGGCGGAAGGGGTCAACACGTCTAATTCATGAATGGGCGCACTGGAATCACCTTCCAAGTTCTGGAACAAGTAGCTGGCAAACTGCTTCAAGCTGATCTGCCTCTTCCTTCTCGCTTGGGGAGAAGTTTGGATCAAGGAAGTGTAGTAGTGGCAAGTAAGATCCCAGAGTGTGTCATACATGTCCGGAGTATCTTTCTTCATACACTCCAGCTGCTGGTTCGTAGGGAAGTACTCCTGATACGGACAGTCCCCCATCGGAAGACCCGAAACATAATGCATCTCGTGCAAGGCCAACCCTAGCTCACCACCGCTGGTCAGGAAGGTGTTGCTATCGGGCATATAAGTCTCCAGCAAAGCCAAGAAATGGCGACAGCTAACTGGGATTCCGTACATAGTAGCTCGTATGGGTGCATATAACCCACTACTCTTCAGATCCCTCTCCCAGCGCGCCAAGACGAAATCAGTCATGCGCGCCCACCACCCTTTGGCTAGTGAGGAAGCCCAGCCATAGCATCTGGGCTCTGGTGGAGGTAATCGCCTCCCCAGAAGAGCCAGACGATTACCCACAGTAGAGGCAGCTGCTGACGTCTCACCTGGGGGTGCAGTATCAAGGCCCGTGATCCCTGGGCAAAGACCACGAATATGGTGATACCCGCCAGAACCAGGGGTCTTAGAATGAGAGGTATATCCACACGGGACTCGCTCAGCATCCTTAGTAAGATCCCAGGACATCTGTCGCCTCACGGCCTGTCTCCTCAAATGGGTAAAAGAATATTGGCGGGGAATTGATGGAATGTATAAAAGAGCTCCTCCATCAAGAGTCAGCCAGTGCTCCTCTCCAAGAGTCAGTATAGCGGGGTCCTCGACATGATCCCCGAACAAGAAGCTCGGCTTCTGTAAAGCCTGAGTGGAAGTAGAATCAGCGGTAAAAGTGGCGTCTGTGATAAGCTGGCGCAAGCAATGGCGCCCTCCTTCCCGTACTAAACGGCAGGAATCGTCAGAACGATCCTGGTCAAACTGTGGGAATGGGCTAATGACTTGCCCAATGGAAGTGGAGGAAAAAACCTCCCGGCTACAACCGGCATTGGCATGAGCAGGAAGACTACCCGCGGGGAATTCAACTGCAATAAAATACAAAGATGGAGTCAGAAAATCCGTCTCATAAGTAGAATGATAAGCTCATTCACGGAATAATTGGAGAGACGATTTTGAGTGTCCTACACCGGAAGAACGGTATGCATCATCACGTGAACAACGTGGCAACATATACCGAACTACAAGGTGTAAGACAACACAAGAATCGCCCCAATATATCCGAAGACTTGAATTGGCTAAGCAAAACAAGTCCGAAACCTTAACCTCCGCGAAAGAGGTATCGGTTCTTCCTTAATGACCCGCTAAGGGATCAGTCAGGGATACAGAAATAGAGAATTCTCACCCCTGAAGGAAAAGTCTGCCGGGAAAGACGTCGTGGGAACCTCCTCCTCACTGTGCTGCGAATGGGGATAACTCCCGGAAGATCGATGGTGACGAGGAGACATCGGAAATCTGCAGTGAAAAGCAATCTGTCAGGTACAATATGAATACACGAAATTTAAGAAAGGGAAATTAAGCACTTGGACTTAAAATCCTATAAATAAATAGGATTTTACAGTTAAAGTCTAATTAAACCTACCAATTTTGTGCCCGCAAAACAATGATCGTTTTCGCGGTGAATTTTGGTGAAATACCCAAAATACCCTTTGTGTTCAAGGCCAAAATCTAGGTCAAGGACACGCGTGACCCGGGTCATGATCGTCACATTCGATCATATAACACCCCGGTACCCCACAATTTTGGTTAAAATTTGCAAATGAGCCCTTTTGCAGAATTTAACCAATTTTGCAAATAAACCCCTCTAACAACTTTTGGTCCTCTCGCCTAAAGTACCCCTCAAACTTTCGGCCAAATGAGCATGTAATATAGGTCTTAACTTCAGTCCTCTATTACATGAACACCACCCCAATTCTTTGGCCGAATTTGCAAATAAGCCCCCAAAGTTTTCAGCCCCATATTTGCACATAAAACCCTCAATAAAGTATGGTCTTTTTGCATAAGACACCCATCCCAATTGTTACCAAAGGGGAATGAAATCCAAGCCTCAAAATTTCAGTCCCATTTTGCAAATAAGCCCTCATAAATTTCAGTCCCATTTTGCAAATAAGCCCCCCAAAATTCGGCCATATTGCCTCTTTTGCACAAAACACCCCAAAACATTGTGCATACACAACCTTTGCCTACTACAAGAATAAAAATGCAATCTTTACAAGAAAATAATAGGATTGTGAAGAGGGGGGGACCACGAAAACCAAGACACCCCCATGGGGTGTCTCGGCAAAACCGAGACACCCCAGGGTGTCTCGGCAAAGCCGAGACACCCCAGGGTGTCCCGGTTTTATCGGGACACCCCCGGGGCGTCTTGAGTCTGTTTTGACCCCTCCGAACCTTGTTTGACCCCTAAATTGTTTTTTGAGCCCCAAAACACTCCGATTCTTCGCCAATGGGTGGATATTGACGAACTCCAAAAGTCAACGTTTGACGATTCAAAACCCTAAGGTGGACGTCGGTCAACGCGTAACCCTAGGTCAACGCCAGTCAGCACGTTGCAACAAAAGTCAACGTTTGAGGATGAAAATCCACACCAATCAACGTTTGACGATCCAAAACCCTAGGGTGGACGCCGGTCAACGCGTAACCCTAGGTCAACCCCAGTCAACGGGTTGCACCAAAAGTCAACGTTTGAGGATGAAAATCCACACCAATCAACGTTTGACGATCCAAAACCCTAAGGTGGACGTCGGTCAACGCGTAACCCTAGGTCAACCCCAGTCAGCGGGTTGCAACAAAAGTCAACGTTTGAGGATAAAAATCCACACCAATCAACGTTTGACGATCCAAAACCCTAAGGGCGAAGCCGGTCAACGCGTAACCCTAGGTCAACCCCAGTCAACGGGTTGCACCAAAAGTCAACCTTTGACGAATCAAAACCCTAAGGGTCAATGCCGGTCAGCGCATAACCCTAGGTCAACGCCGGTCAACGCATTGCGACAGAAGTCAACGTTTGACAATCCGAAACCCCAAGGGTCAATGCCGGTCAGCGCATAACCCTAGGTCAACGCCGGTCAACGCGTTGCGACAAAAAGTCAACACACGGTGATCCAAAACCCTAAGCCAGCATAATGTGGCAGAGGTAGTTCAAAGTCAACTCAGTGACACGAGCCAAACTCAATTCATCAGCTGCAAGCTCGAGACTCCAACGACGGCCAGACGAGGCTATTCGTCAAAGCATCGGATAGATCGAAAATCGAAAGAGTCAAGAGTTGAAGCTAACTACGCCGACTGAAGGCCAGATCAATCACATCCAAAGTATTCCAGCCTCTTCTATAAAAGAAACGAGTCAGGAACACTTTGGAGGGGGTATCTGTAGGCATCAAAAATTGCCTATAGTTCTCCACAACCGGTTCAGTGTTAACGAGCGACGATGAACGTCACCATCCAATCCACATGAGCCTAATCGACGTCGACGAACGACTAAAGTGAATCGACGAGTTACGTGAGCGGATAGGACTTCGGAATCACGAAGACCCGGACCAATCGGGTAGCCCGGCACCGCTCGCAAAAAGGACAATGCCCTCCGTGCCTCGACTACTCTAAAGACAATCCAACCATCAGAGCGGATCGAACTCTTCTTCACGCATCCAACGCACCCGGAATCACTCAAATCCGAGTTCGTACGAAGAATCTACGGGGAAACGATCAAAACACACCTACGGACGTCTTGGATTCCCAAAACACCCCCAGGGGGTGTCTCAGAAATTCCGAGACACCCCAGGGGTGTCTCGGAATTTCCGAGACACCCTAGGGGTGTCTCGGATTTTTGGAGACACCCCAAGGGTGTCCCAGATCTGTGCGGACACCCCTGGGGTGTCCTAGATCTGTGCGGACGCCCCCCCTCTTGTTTTCCTATAAATAGGACCCCCTTACCTCATTTGGAATGATCTGGATTTTTGGAGAGCCTCGGCGAAGCCCTGCTGCAGCAAACACTGATCGAGCACTTCAACCGAGGAGGAGAGGTCTAAATCAGCCTTCATCACCCGTTCTCATCCTTCCTTAGTATTAGCCTTTAGCGTTAATACTAAGAAGAGCTATTACCTCGCTTTAGCCGAGGTATACGCTTAGAACTTCTAGATCTCACGCGGATCGACGAAGTTCTGTCCGATATTTCTGGATTAGAAGTTTCTAGATCTCACGCGGATCGACGAAACTCTGTCCGATTTATCCGGACCGGATCTGATTGCCCCGGTGGTCCACGGATATCAACATCCCCGTCACAGGCCAAAGACCCACGCAAGCGAGACCGCACCAAAACGGGATCTCGTGTTTATTTTCGATAAAGTTGTAATCTTTGTTTTGGTTGCATTCTTGTTGTAACATTTGAAGTTGTAACAGATTCAAAAGCAATGAAAACACCGACTTTCACCGAAAACAATCCGTTCCACATGTAACGTTGTGCTAAAGGAATGAACTCCCTTAGACTTAATGCTACGACTTTGAATACGTAGACTTTGCCCTTGTTACGGGAATAGGCTACCCGGCAACACGTGTTAGGTGTTGACTTATCCCTACTTAGGATTCGGGATAAAATTCCCCATGCACCAAGTGCGCGGATTGGAAGTTGAAAGTTGTGTCAAAATAGGAGAGGAAGAATTTTACATTCTATCTCCCGCTGGAAAGGAAACTAGAGGTGGGATTCCCCACCCCCAGTATCTGGAAGGATGAACTGGGAATGGGATCTCCACTCCGAGCACCCGGAATGATGAACTGGGAGTGGGGTCGCCACTCCGAGCATCGGAAAGGTCCGAGGAGAGGAAGAATTTTATATTCTATCTCCCGGTGCTGAAGAGGAAGAATTTTATATTCTATCTACAGCTAGAAAGGAAACTCGAGGTGGGATATCCACCCCCAGAATCCGGAAGGATGAACTGGGAGTGGGATTTCCACTCCGAGCATCAGAAAGGATGAACTGGGAGTGGGATCTCCACTCCGAGCATCGGAAAGGTCCGAGGAGAGGAAGAATTTTATATTCTATCTCCCGGTGCTAAAGAGGAAGAATTTTATATTCTATCTTCAGCTGGAAAAGAAACTTGAGGTGGGATTCCCCACCCCCAGTATCTGGAAGGATGAACTGGGAATGGGATCTCCACTCCGAGCATCCGGAATGATGAACTGGGAGTGGGATCTCCACTCCGAGCATCGGAAAGGTCCGAGGAGAGGAAGAATTTTATATTCTATCTCCCGGTGGAAAAGAAACGAGAGAGGAAGAATTTTATATTCTATCTCCCGTTGCCGAAGAGGAAGAATTTTATATTCTATCTTCAGGCGGAAAGGAAACTCATTTTATATTCTATCTCCAGCAAAAGAGGGAAACTCGAGGTGGGATCTCCACCTCCAGAATCCGCAGGATGAAACTAGAAGTGGGATCTCCACTCCGAGAATCGGAAAGTTCAAACGACCCTAACTGTCGTAAGGTTTGGTCATTTGACTCTGAAGAGGAAGAATTTTATATTCTATCTTCAGAACTGGAGAGGAAGAATTTTATATTCTATCTCCAGCAAAAAAGGGAAACTCGAGGTGGGATCTCCACCTCCAGAATCCGCAGGATGAAACTAGAAGTGGGATCTCCACTCCGAGAATCGGAAAGTTCAAACGACCCTAACTGTCGTAAGGTTTGGTCATTTGACTCTGAAGAGGAAGAATTTTATATTCTATCTTCAGCTGGAAAGGAAACTCGAGGTGGCACACCCCCAGAATCCGAAAGGCTCAAACGACCCTAACTGTCGTAAGGTTTGGTCATTTGACTCTGAAGAGGAAGAATTTTATATTCTATCTTCAGCTGGAAAGGAAACTCGAGGTGGCACACCCCCAGAATCCGAAAGGCTCAAACGACCCTAACTGTCGTAAGGTTTGGTCATTTGACTCTGAAGAGGAAGAATTTTATATTCTATCTTCAGCTGGAAAGGAAACTCGAGGTGGCACACCCCCAGAATCCGAAAGGCTCAAACGACCCTAACTGTCGTAAGGTTTGGTCATTTGACTCTGAAGAGGAAGAATTTTATATTCTATCTTCAGCTGGAAAGGAAACTCGAGGTGGCACACCCCCAGAATCCGAAAGGCTCAAACGACCCTAACTGTCGTAAGGTTTGGTCATTTGACTCTGAAGAGGAAGAATTTTATATTCTATCTTCAGCTGGAAAGGAAACTCGAGGTGGCACACCCCCAGAATCCGAAAGGCTCAAACGACCCTAACTGTCGTAAGGTTTGGTCATTTGACTCTGAAGAGGAAGAATTTTATATTCTATCTTCAGCTGGAAAGGAAACTCGAGGTGGCACACCCCCAGAATCCGAAAGGCTCAAACGACCCTAACTGTCGTAAGGTTTGGTCATTTGACTCTGAAGAGGAAGAATTTTATATTCTATCTTCAGCTGGAAAGGAAACTCGAGGTGGCACACCCCCAGAATCCGAAAGGCTCAAACGACCCTAACTGTCGTAAGGTTTGGTCATTTGACTCTGAAGAGGAAGAATTTTATATTCTATCTTCAGCTGGAAAGGAAACTCGAGGTGGCACACCCCCAGAATCCGAAAGGCTCAAACGACCCTAACTGTCGTAAGGTTTGGTCATTTGACTCTGAAGAGGAAGAATTTTATATTCTATCTTCAGCTGGAAAGGAAACTCGAGGTGGCACACCCCCAGAATCCGAAAGGCTCAAACGACCCTAACTGTCGTAAGGTTTGGTCATTTGACTCTGAAGAGGAAGAATTTTATATTCTATCTTCAGCTGGAAAGGAAACTCGAGGTGGCACACCCCCAGAATCCGAAAGGCTCAAACGACCCTAACTGTCGTAAGGTTTGGTCATTTGACTCTGAAGAGGAAGAATTTTATATTCTATCTTCAGCTGGAAAGGAAACTCGAGGTGGCACACCCCCAGAATCCGAAAGGCTCAAACGACCCTA